ATCTTGAACCGAAGCCGTTTGATAGCACGGTTCAGAAGATGGAGAACTAGCTACAACTAGTAGTAAAAAGTAAGAGATGTTTGATTCATCTCCATGCTGCCGCTTGAACTGAACTGGTTGACAAAATTTCAGTGCATCACTGGTTTTTTTTCTTTTTTGTATATCAAATAGTTTCACTGTTCATCTGTCTCACTGTTTATCTCTCTTTGTCCCCTACAGTCGTTCATGCGCTGTATCCCTGGTGTAGGGATCTACTTCAGCACATTTTACTCGCTGAAGCAGCACTTCTTCCAGGATAGGTCTCCGAACGCTGGGGAGGCAGTGTTGCTTGGGGCGGGGGCTCGTTGTGTGGCAGGTGTGGCCATGCTGCCCATCACAGTCATTAAGACTCGTTTTGAAGTGAGTATTATTACTCAGCTCTGACACTGTATGCACATTGAAAATGCATGTTTTCTGCTGAATCTGTGTGTTTATTCACTGTTACATGTTTTATTTCAGAGTGGGCAGTACAATTACATAAGTGTAGCTGGTGCTCTTAGAAGTATGTGTCAGAATGAAGGTCCCAGGGCTCTTTACTCCGGGCTCACAGCAACTTTACTCCGAGATGCCCCGTTCTCTGGCATCTATGTCATGTTCTACAGCCAGGCCAAAAAGGCTTTGCCACAGGGTGAGCTTCTGATCAGTCATGATTGGGATGTAATCTGAGGATATGGCATTGTTTAATAATGTCTGCTCTCTTTCACTCGCTCAGAGATCAGCTCATCCTCCTTTGTCCCACTGGTTAATTTTGGCTGTGGTGTGGTGGCTGGTATTTTGGCCTCTCTAGCCACTCAGCCAGCAGACGTGATCAAAACCCACATGCAAGTGAGCCCAGCGTTGTATCCCAAGACCAGCGATGCTGTACGCCATGTTTATACTGTAAGCATCGTGGGATAAAACATATTTGTTGAACTTTAGTGAGCTTTGAAAATGTTTTAATACAAAATTCAAAATTTGTATTTAAATTATTTTATTCATCAAAGAAACCTGAAAATATGTATCACAGTTTCCACAAAAATTGTTGAAACAATTTTAAACATTGATAATAATAAGAAATGTTATTTAAGCAGCAAATCAGCATATTAGAATGATTTCTGAAGGATCATATGACGCTGAAGACTGGAGTAATGATGCTGAAAATTCAGCTTTGCATCACAGGAATAAATTACATTTTAAAATATATTCAAATAAATAAGTTCTTTTAAATTCTATTTCACAATATTACTGATTTTACTGTATGTTTGATCAAATAAATGTAGACTTTGAGCATAAATGACTTGCTTTAAAAACATAAAAAAATCTTTTGAACAGTAGTGTACCATATTTACTTACTTTATAAACATTTCTAGGCTTGTGCAGATTCATGATATTTGTAAAGAAAATATTTGTTGTCATAATCTTAGCTCAATTTTTTAGGGGTGGGAGAAAAAATTGATTGTCCAATGCACCGTGATTCTGTCTTCAAAGATTATGAATCTGAACATTTCAGAATAGACTCTGAGCTTGGTTTTTTTCCAGCATATGACACGTGTGCGCACTAGAGACAACCGCGGCAGGCTTCATTGCACAGGATATGCAACGTGAATGTTAGAAAAAGGTAGTTAGCCGCACACTCCAAAGAGTCCAATGAAGACTGAAGAAGTCTAGAAAACAATTTATTTTATAAATTGCATATTAGTTTGGCCATTTATATTCTTTGCTATATGCAATTTATAAAATGAATCATGTTTTTCTAGACCTCTTCAGTCTTCATTTGACTCGGTGTGTGGCCAGCTACCTTTTCTGTTCAAGTTTTTCCTTGACTCTACGCACCTGAAAGAAAAGCAACTTTTTGTCAATTTAGAGCGCAACGATTTCTTTTGATTTCTAAAAATCTGTTTTTAAACACATTTGGTGTACTTTATGTTTGGAGTTCATACTGTGTCAGTTTCTTTAGTCACATTTTTGTCAGCATATTAAAGTCTCTTAGACTAAGTCAGTTACAGAATTTTAATTCTTTTCTCTCTGATTTTAGAAACATGGCTTGAGCGGGTTCTTTCGAGGAGCAGTTCCTCGTTCCCTGAGGAGAACCCTCATGGCTGCCATGGCCTGGACTGTGTACGAGCAGCTGATGGCACGCATGGGACTGAAGTCCTAAAGACACCCGACGCACTTTATGTGTGGACTTCATTCTGTGTGTGTCCGTTACAGGAGTGTGTGCTTTTCAGATGATGGCGTTCTATTATCCTTGAAGGCTTGATTAAAAAAACAAAAGCATCTAGTGTTGGCTGAGGTACCGGTAATAGTAAGTTTGTGTGTGCGTGATTGTCTGTGTGTGTTAGCGTTTTCAGGTGCAGTGAGTCTTTACCCCGTGACATCTCTGACAGTGACATTCCTAAATTGCCACATTGTGAGTTTGTCTGCCTGCATATTGAGACAGGGGTCCGCACTGAAGAATACCAATGAGAGACTGCTGAATCATGTGCCGTCAGCTCACAAGAAAACACTCCTTTCACAAGAAGAAAATCCCCCTCTTGGCAACGAACCTTAGAATACCACATGTTTCAGTGTCATTGAAAAGTGCCCACCTTTGCAGGGTTTTCAGAAATGCACGACTCCAAAGACTAAGATAGTTCCTAAGCCTAAATCCTTTTTAGTCGAGGATGAGGCTTAGTGGGTGTCCAAGAGACTGGTGTTACAAAGACATGTTGACATAATACTCCAGCACTCCGACAATCAGACCGAATTACTCTAGGGCTGAGAAACTCAACTGACAAAACATTACTGTCTCACCAACATACTCTTTTCCGACTATAAATGCTCGTCTCTATGCGATGATTTGTGCTGTTCTACTGATTTCCTGTGCTGTATGACTGGATGGGTTTATCAGTGCATTTCAGTGTTTATTTCTTTTTTCCTTGAACGCTCACTCCTTGGCACAGACAAAGCCAAGATTTGGATTGAATGAGACTTCATAAGATATAGACCTGGAGAAACATTTAATATTTATTAAAGAAACCGGGGAGAACAAGTGTTATTGTTCCTGAGAAACAATGTTTGAAGTGGAACGTATCGGTGAGAAATTGCAATACCTAATTTATCGTATTCGCAAACATGTTGTCGGATAATTTTAATGGACTTTTTGTCGTATTGACATTTTGTGTAAAACCACTGTAAGATGCCATAGTGTCATCGGTGGTGCTCGGTGTGAACACAACAGTGTAATGTTATTTCAACATGACCCATAGGGGCAATTTTAGGAAGTCTGTTAAAAACATGTCCGGGTGGTTGTTCACCCTTAAAATTAGTAGAGAAAATGAAGCGTATGAGAACCATTAGGATTTTTGGCATTGTAACATTAATTTAATTCCTGTTAGGCACATTTTCTCCCCAATTTGTCATTACTTTAATGTGAATTTATTTATATATATATACACACACACTTAATATTAACACCATGGTAGTCTTTGTTGTCCTGCCAGTAATGTGTTTTTTTTTTCAGCAAATTACAGTAATTTGTAGTATAAAACCTTTGATAATAATGGGAGAAAAAACTCAATGCAGGGATGCATTACAATGGGAATTTAGGGGAAATATACTTAATTGTCATGTAAATAATGTCACAATGCAAAAATCTTTATGGATTTGAAATAGATTTTGATTTATTTAAGCCAAATATAATTTCTTTCTTTTGTATTTTTTTTCCTCTTGAAATTTTGGGGGTTAATATCATGTGGACATGATCATGTTCACCCCTTGTTCTCTCAGTTTTCTTGGTGATAGTACTTTACCATTTGCCACTGTATATACTTTGAGTGTTCGTACTGTATGTGCACTGGTTAGCAGTGTTGGGGAAAGTTACTTTTAAAAGTAATGCATTACAATATTGCGTTACTCCATAAAAAAGTAACTAATTACGTTACTTAGTTACTTTTTATGGAAAGTAATGCGTTACGTTACTTTTGCGTTACTTTTTAAATCTGGACAGGGCTTGCTTGTTTGTTTTTAAAATAAAAAAGTTCTATTTTTGGCGAATATAAAAGCCTTTCACACCAAAAGTGAAATGAATAAGCCTCAGGCTGAAGGGAAAGTCAATTTACGTCCGTACAGTAGAATGCAGAAGAAGACATTTCAACACACTTCAGCAATAAAACAAGACACACAAATGTCTAATTTGTGCTTATTAGTACGGTTGAACTGGATCATCGAAGGTCAGAAGCAAAGAC